AAGAAAATTTAGAAAATAATTTCATACGAAAAAAAAAAGGCAAAATTCGCAAAAGAGAAAGAAATGAAGGACAAAGAAAAATATGAAGTGGGTTTGTCTTGTTTACTGAAGTAGTCATGTGTTCCCCACCTATACGGGCGGTAAGTGTCGGGAATTTTAATGATGTGGTTCACGGCAAACTCTTTCCATTTTTAAGATTGACGCAGTATAATCTTCCAGTCCACATTTTCCGACATTTGACCATGTGTTGTACTATGAAGTGTTTTGTGTAGATATAAAAAGGAAGTAAAATATTACCAGAAGAATTAAAGAAGGGACGCTTACGTTTTAAAGACAGAAAGAGAATGAAGAAAAGATGGTGTAACAATATAGAAAGAAACACAACCATAAAAGGATATCACAAATAAAGAAATAAAATGAAAAAAGGATGGTATATAAAGAAAGAAAGAAAAAAACAAAAAAGAAGAATGAATTTAGAAAAAAAGACGACACAAAAAATACAGAAAGAAATAAATAAAAAAGAATGAATGAATTTAAGGAAAGAATGACACAAAAACTATAGAAAGAAAGAAAGAAAGAAAGAAAGAAAGAAAGAAAGAGAGAAAGAAAGAAAGAAAGAAAAAGAATGAATTTAAAGAAAGGGTGACCCAAAAACTATAGAAAAAAAGAAAGAAAGAATTAATTTCAAGAAAGTGTTATACAAAATCTAAAGAAAGAAAGAGAGAAGAAAGAAAAATAAAAGTGAATGAATGACATTTAAGAAAGATCAACGCCAAAATTATAAAAAAGGAAAGAATGAATGAAATTTAAGAAAGGATGATGCAGAAACTATAGAAAGAAACAAAGAAAGAAAAAATGAATGAATTTGAAGAAAGTATGAAACAAAATTTATAGAAAGAAAGAAATTGATGTAAAGAAAGTAAAAACACCGAGTAAAGATGGCACAACGAAAGAAAGAAAGAAAGAAAGAAAGAAAGAAAGAAAGAAAGAAAGAAAAAGGCTTAGATAGAAAAGGCGAAATGGGAGAACGAGAGACCGTTGATAATCAGTAAGTAATAAAAGTAGATATTCAATATTAAAAAAGAATGTATAGACGATCGCAATGAATTGAAAAAAAAAAAGAATTGTTGAGAAATCCGCTAAAAAACAAAGACCAAAAAATAAATAAAATTTACGCAGATTAAAACGAAAGAAGCAAAAAAAGAAAGAAAAGAAAGCAGAGATAATAAAAAAAAAAGACTAAATTAACATTACATTAAAAACAAAGCTATACAATACTCACTCAATGCTATGTCGTTATGCCATACAGCCGCGCATGCCCCAGACTTGAAGATGAAACATAAGTTTTAAAGTCTTCAACGGATAAAAACTCTCATTGCTTCATCAATTAATTCTTAACAATTTTTCTTCAATTTTGCTTATTTTTTCTCGTTTTGCAATTGCAATTACAGCCTTCTTAATGTACTTATTTATTTTGCCCTTTTTATTCGACATTTTTATTTATTATTTCATTTCTTTTGAATTTTTTTCTCAACAAGATCTCCTAAGATTTGTGACGATTGCTCTTGGATTTGTAAAGAAAAAGAAAAAAATCGTAAAAAGAATTATTTCGATTGCTATCGTCAGTAATTTTTCAAATGATACTTTATCTTCCTGGTTGTGAAGTAGGAAACGATGGAGGCTTTACAAGTAAGATTCTTTTAAAATTCAGTAAAAGAACTTTACCGTGTATTTTTTTTTTTCTTTTTTTACTTCGCATTCAATGAACTTATTACATTTTCCTTTACAGGATAATATTTAATAAATAGTTTGAAGAAATTCTTGTTCTGATCTTAAATCCCAATGATTTCAATATGTGTTGAATTTGTATCATTTTTTTGCCAATAAAAAGCGTTTGTCGCGGCGATAGAGGTATTTTCTTCATCTCGTTTCAGATATTCATTTTTCCTTTTGATAATTGCTTTTCGTTCTGACTTTTAGTTTTCGCTTGAAAAGATTTCATCGCTAAATAGATCAGAAATTATTTTACGTCCGTCATTCGGTGGGTTTCCTTTGAAATCTACACGTTTATATAAAATATTCTCTGATTTAGTCTTATTTTTTCTACTTTTTCAAACCATTTCTCGCTACGAAACTATTCAACTAACTCAAATGATAAACAAAAACAATAACAACTTTTTTATTATTATTATCATCATCATTCGATTTCTGCTATGGACACACTACCTACCAAGTCTGCGGAAAGACCTAAGGCAGGTCGTGGTATGTTGTTATGGCCACATTTCATGTTAATTTTTTTTTTTTTTTTTTTTTTTTTTTTTTATCTCCGATGAAGTTGCTAGCGTTACATAGACAAAGTTCTCCTTAGTGTGTGTGCTGTACTTAATAAGACAATTTTCTGTATGTCTCTTAAGCTGGGGTTTTTCAGGATTCTTTCAATGTGTTGTTTTGTTCCATTTTTTATAATTCCAAGTGCACCTATTACCACTGGTATTATTCTTGTTTTCAATTTCCACATTTTTTCTATTTCAATTTCCAGGTCTTTGTATTTTGATAGTTTTTCAAATTCCTTGGTTGCTATGTTACAATCCGCTGGACAAGCCATATCAATTAGTAGGCAAGTTTTTTTCTTTCTGGTTTTGACAATAATGTCCGGCCTATTTGCTTCAATTTTTCTGTCTGTGTGGATGGTATAATCCCATAGAATGGTGACATCTTCTATTTCTGTAACCGGCGCTGGCCGATGTTCATACTCAGTGTTTGCTTACACATTTTCCAAAGTGTTTGCACATTGTCCAGTGTAAGTATTGCCCCACTCTATCGTGACGATTTTTTATATTCATTTGGGGCAAGTATAGAACATCCTGAGATTAGATGGTCTATTGTTTCTTGGTATTTGTCACAGAACCTGCATTTTGGATCCACATTATTATGTATGATATTTGCCTGAAAATTCCTAGTGAAAAGACTCTGGTCTTGCGCTGCAAGAATAAAACCTTCAGTTTCAGACTTTAATCCAGATGCTCGTAACCATCGATGAGTATTAACTTTATCAACATTGGGTTTATTTGCACGTTCTGGATATTGGCCATGCAGAGGTTTGTCTTGCCAGCGTTGTTTCATCTGTTCAAGGGCTTTATCCTTGGCTTTCTTTTTCATATCTTTTGCTGCAATAGTTGGTTCTTGGCTTCTGTTTTGATTTACTACAGAATCTACTAAATGTAAATGTTGTTTGTATTTACTGCCTTCTTTTATTATTGAATATTTTTTCTTTCTGTTTTCATGTTGTTTCACTAATTTTATCATCCAGTCATTTGTTGTTTCCATGTAAGTTAGTAAGCCAATAGTTGTTGTCTTGTATGACAATTCTAGCTGAATAAGACCTCTTCCACCTTATTATTATTATTATTATTATTATTATTATTATTATTATTATTATTATTATTATTCCTTTGATTTCTCTTGTATGCACATTTCCTTCTGGCTTCCATCCAGATACCTAAAGTTAGAAATGGCTTGATGACATTTTCTACTAATCATTTTTGTATAAAAAAGCACCCCCCCAAAAAAAAATAAATCAGACATATTTTATATAGATAAAGCTATTTGTAATGTGGGATCTGTACTTGTGAGTACATTTTTTTTGTATTTCTTTAAGGCATGGATTACCAGGAATCCCTTCAATTTGTCTATCGGAACATTTTCTAATCAATCTGAGGCCTCCAACTACAACTTGAATTATTGATGTCCTCATATGCCACATTTTTGAGATTTCCACTTTAAGATTCTTGTATTTTGATAATGCTTTTGAAGATCGTCAAAGATACGGAACAATCTGCAGGGACTGCCATATCAATAAGAAAGCATGTTCTATTTTCGCGGTGTTTTATCACAATGTCTCTTCGATTAGATTTGATTTTGCTGTTTGTGCGCATTGTAAAGTCCTATAACATTGTTACAGTTCCTATCTCTGTAACCGAGACTGGCTGATGTTTACACTAATTTCTGGAAGTTTCCTTTCCGTAAAAGTTACATATTTTCCAGTGAAGATATTGGTTTACTCTATCTTGCCGAGTTTTATATCCAGTGGATGATAACACCATGCAACCTGATACAAGGTGGTTAGTTGTTTTTAGATATTTATTATTATTATATTTTGACTTTGTTTCGTGTAGACTGTATTGAAAGAAATATATGCATGATATAAGATGTACCCATGTCTACTACTACTACTGCTACTACCGTTGTTATTGTTATTATTATTGTTATTATTATTATTATTATTATTAAGGTAACCCATACGGTATATTCTGACATAACATCAGATTAACAATAGATCATTCCTGTTACGAGGATTCGCAGAAGAAAAGATATATTAAAGGCGATTTTGGTTTCAAAGAAAGAAAGAAAAAAAAGAAAAGAAAGAAAGAAAGAAAGAAAAGAAAGAAAGAAAGAAAGAAAGAAAGAAAAAGACAGATAGAAAAAGAGAAAAGATAAAAGTGGTGATAACACACTCACGTACTACAAGGAAATGGAAAACATTGTCAATTTAGAATGCTTTCATTTGTACTTTGTTACTTATAATTGCTTTTGCATTGTTTTGTTAAGCTTATTTAACAGTGCGATAAAGGAAATTCCATGAAAATTTCTCCCTGATAATATCAGCCGACAATTCCAACAGACAACGACGTTGGGGAGTGCCTGTTAACCATAACACGCATTGATCAAAACCTTGTGAGTGAAATTGGGTAGACGAAACATTTCGAAAGGCACGAAGTCATATGTCATCGCGTACAAGCGAGATAACATTATTCTAACCGCTGAGCATACCAAAATATTCGTTATTTTACAGAAATCGTAACTAAGGTCTGCTCAGCATAGTTGCAGTATAATCTTGAAGAAATACAAATGCGCTTGAGCAGATTTCATCAACAGGGATTAGCTACTTGCCCGAGTAGACTCCCTAGTTTCGCCAGAAGGCTACAAATGAATTAAATATCATGTCGACACTTCCTTATTTTCACTGCCTTCATCAGTGTAAGCAAATTCAATAAACCATCGAGAGTTGATAAGTTAACCAAACTAATCTTACCACATACAACTAAATATATCTCAAAATATAATATACGATCTATCTATCTATCTATCTATCTATCTATCTATCTATCTATCTATCTATCTATCTATCTATCTCAGTCTATTTATCTATCTATCTATCTATCTATCTATCTATCTACCATATACTATTAAATATATCTCAAAATATAATAAAAGATCGATCGATCTATCTATCTCTCTCTTTCTATTTATCTATCTACCATATACTACTAAATATATCTCAAAATATAATAAACGATCTATCTATCTATCTATCTATCTATCTACCATATACTACTAAATATATCTCAAAATATAATAAACGATCTATCTATCTATCTATCTATCTATCTATCTATCTCTATCTATCTATCTATCTATCTATCTATCTATCTATCTACCATATACTATTAAATATATCTCAAAATATAATAAAAGATCGATCGATCTATCTATCTCTCTCTTTCTATTTATCTATCTACCATATACTACTAAATATATCTCAAAATATAATAAACGATCTATCTATCTATCTATCTATCTATCTACCATATACTATTAAATATATCTCAAAATATAATAAAAGATCGATCGATCTATCTATCTCTCTCTTTCTATTTATCTATCTACCATATACTACTAAATATATCTCAAAATATAATAAACGATCTATCTATCCATCTATCTATCTATCTACCATATACTACTAAATATATCTCAAAATATAATAAACGATCTATCTATCTATCTATCTATCTATCTATCTATCTACCATATACTACTAAATATATCTCAAAATATAATAAACGATCTATCTATCTATCTATCTATCTATCTATCTATCTATCACTTTCAGTTTCTACATATAGATGAGTGTCTTATGTATTAAACTGTTCATATGATTATATTACATATACAGCTGAGAGAAATGCGAGTGAAGATTGTTGTTTTCGAAAACAATACAAAGCAACTTGTTCCAATGCTGATCTTCAATGCAATCATGCCTTTCGCTTGGAAGATTGTTTGCACCATCCCCTATACCTCGTTTTTTCCCAATTTAAGCTTGTACAGCGCATTCTTTTCTTTTCATCTGTCATGTTCTTTCAGTCATGATTATCCACAACTTCCTTTCATTTGTTGCTCTAATTAATTCTTGCTCCTTTACTATTCGGTAATTATATTATTCTTGTCCTGACGGCATTTCAAACTCTCATATTTAAAATTATATTTCATTCAATTCAAAGAAATTTCTCATTAGATATCATTCCATGGGGTTAAATAATAATTGCATTCTTCGGTCTGTCTTTGAATAAATCCTATTATCCTTTCGTTAGTCCGCACGACCATTATGCGCTGTCATTATACCTCATAAATAATGCTTTATTCCGTTTTGAGCGCTTGGAAAGAGGGTGAAAGTCATTACTTAGTTTCAGTGAGAAAATGAAAGAAAGAAAGAAAGAAAGGAAGAAATTAAGAAAGAAAGAAGGAAAAGGGCAAAATAGAAGTGTTTATTGTTTCTTTCAGTGAAATGGAAAAGTTGTGAATTTCAAATATTTTTATTTGTACCCACTTCTTAAAGGAACATATTTATGATTGTTGTCACAATATTTTGTTAAAGTCGTTAAGCTTAAATATTTAGCGATGCGGTAGGCGACTTCATACGGATATTTTATTGTCGCAAATCTCAATCATTAACTGCAGTATTAAGATTCATCAGAAAATTCAAATAGGAAAACCATGATATTACCACGGGTTAAAACTAGTTCACATAATTGTCCATTCCCCAAACCTATTCATGCTTTGTATATATTTTTTTCGTGTGGCGTATATTGTAAGATAACCTCAGATTTGTATTGCACTGATTGATATGCACTGCATTGATTGATAATCCAGATAATCAATACATTCGGTGATTGATAGGAAATGGTGACTCTCAAGTGACTCATTTTGTTTCCTGGGCTTTTCCCAGGGGCGGACGACTGATTTTATCATTAGTGAATTTATTTAAATCAGTGGTTAATTCATTTAAATGTTTCAAAGGTCGATCTTTTTGGAAAGTGGATGATTCATTAATTTGTCAGAATTTAAAATCATTTGAGCGTTATAAATGTCAAAGATGAAAAAAATTAAAGGCAGAAATTCATACACGAGTAATTCGAAAAAAAACAAATTAATTTTATTTGCTCTCAAATTTACTGAAATATCATGAAAACAAATTTGACATTATGAAGAAATAAGAAAGTACGAGAATCCAGTTTTAAGAAGATGAGTATTATTTGGATTTCTGGATTGATTAATTGGCGGGTTTTGCTGAAAAATAAAGCTATTAATATTCTTAAATTGAATGTTTGAATATTACATTTATGTTTTTGACCTATGATTTGCAATTGTAGTAGTGTATCGGTGCCGTCAAAAATGACGGCAATTGTTACAAAGTTTTAATACTGAGATGTAATGAAACAAATGTCTTGAAACAATGTATTGAGATTCACTAAAGCGGAGATAAAGAATTCACAGCTAAAATAACGGTTAATGAACCGTTTGATTAATCCGTTCTCTTTATATTTTTTAGACGTTCAATGCTATCTATGACTCATTGATTACTTCTGGTATTATATAAATCACTTTTGGCTCAATATGTTTTCATGTTAAAGATTTCATGTGTTTAATATAACTGTAAGATAGAAACATCTCTCGGAAGAAAAAGATTAGCAACTGAACGACAAGCACAAAGCCTATTTCATGACCGAGATGAAGCAAGACGACCAATTATATGAGTACCTCACATGAAAGGCTTGAACGAGTAAAACTGCAATCTAAGACAAGTAGGAGTAAAGGAACTGATTAATTAAACGGTCAATTTTGCTCGGGAACTAATTAAATTTTCATTTATTTTTATAGATTATTAAAACGACTAAAGGATGTAGTCAATTATAAATTTAATAACTTACGTTGATTTTTATCCCTTCCCGCTACAGTTGCGATAGGAGATATATAAATAAATACGCAGAAAATATATAAAGAAATACACATTGATAATTATTATATGTTTTTATTCTGCTGAATCAAGTTTTATTTTACTTGCAAAATGATTGGTAAAAACAAATGTGTCTGTAATTTACTGAAATAAAAATTCAAGAAAATTCATCAAATTGTGTACCCATATTAACAAAACATACCATAAAATAACCATTTAAAAGCAGAATAATTTGGCACCTGTTCAAAACAAAGGTACGTCTACGTTTTGATTCTGGTGAAACCAGATCCGTGTCTACTTCTTGGGTTTAGTTCAAAACAGATCTATGTCTACGTCATTTACTTTAATGCAGAGCAGAACCATGTCTACCTTTATATTAATTCATTATTTTTTTCTTTAAATTCAATAACCCAATAAAAGTTGAGAAGATAACCAGCCTAAGCTATCCATATACTACTAAATATATGGCCAATTTTATTATACAATCTATCTATCTATCTATCTATCTATCTATCTATCTATCTATCTATCTATCTATCTATCTATCTATCATGTCAGTGGCGCAATGAGTTACTTCCTTTGATGTCAGCATCAACCATGCTGATAGAAGATTAAAAGAAAACAAAAAATAACCCCCAAAAAAACCTCTGAAATGAGTATAAGGGAATAGTTTGATTTTGGAAAAGTTTAAATTAGCATGCCATTCCCTACCCCAGTTACTGAAAGACTGGATGCCATTTTCGAGATCAGCTGCCAATTCCACTATTCGAAACTAGAAAACTTACATTTAAGACACAAGACAATAGTTACAGGCTAGAATTATGATACACTTACTTAGAAAAAAACAATATATTAGGCTTGGAATCCGTTAATTTTTGAGAGCTTCGAAAGGACGCGTCGTCTCTCCTTGAATTCGAAACGCCATAAGATACTGAGTCGAGAATAGGGGCAACTGGGAAGGTTATCTTAAGAATTAGAAACAAACAGGTTCGAGCATAGAGTCCTAGTTGACACCCCGTACCTATGTAGAAAAATTTAGATGAGTAGCCATACAAGACAAACATCATTTAATGATTTGATAAAAAAAAAGGAAAAAAGATTAAATCAACTCAAAAATTCGACCGGAAACATGTCTTTGTTCAGCTATCCATTCGGTTGTACTTATCAAGTAGTTTACTTGATGCTTTCCACTGCTTAAATTTTTTTCATTACGTCCTGTGAGTGTTATATTCTCTGGTCATTCTCTTTTGTTTATGTGCCCTATAAATTTCAGTTGTCACGTTTTAACTGTTAATAGTTGTTTCTTTCGTTATCCTATTGTTATGAAAACCTCTTTCTCGTTGAGAAATTGGGAAGTTTGATGAAAAAAAAGAGCAGTAAATAAATGATCTCGTCAGCATCATCTATCAGAAGTTTTTAACATTGAAAACTGAAGAAAAGCAGTAATGTCAATCAAAAGTACAAAACATCCCATAAAATAACCCCAGTTACTAAAAGACTGGATGTCATTTTCGAGATCAGCTGCCAATTCCACTATTCGAAACTAGAAAACTTACTTTTAAGACACAAGACAATAGTTAAAGGCTGATAACGAAGAGATGTGAACAGATTAACAGGTGTGTGGAGGGAAAAGACCAAAAAACGAAACCCAATAAAAGGAATGGTAAAAAAAAATGTACAGGTAAACTAAAAGAAAAAAAAAACACGAAACCAGGTATTAAATTGAAGCTAAACGACAACAAATCAGAGAAAAGTGAAAATCTTAATCGGAAAACGGAAAAAAAAATAATAAAGCAATGAAAAGTAAAAAGAAACAAAACAACAGAATGGAACATATCAGCAAAGTTTAAAATAAAAAAATCTCCGAAAATCTCCGTAAATAGCCGAAAATCTCCGTAAATAGCCGAAAATCTCTGAAAATCGCCGAAAACCTCCAAAAACCTTGAAATGGAATAAATCTAAATGCAAAGAAAATATGAGTGAATAGAAAAATAGTTGATAAACCATTCTTTAAGCGAACTGCATTTCTGAGTATAATATAAATAATATTACATTAGAACACGAATTACACACACACACACACACACACACACACACACACACACACACACACACACACACACACACACACACGTGCGTGTGTGTGATAGAATAAAGAACAAATAGGAAACGTTTATCAATCTAACATGATTCACTTTTATTAAAGCTTCATGAATGCGATATGGAGAAAAAGAAGAAACAAATTCTGGTATTTTTGTTTTTGTGTTGATGATTTTCATTGGTTAATCAAGTTTCTCGTGCATTTGACTTATTCAAGAAACTATAATTAGTATAATCTATGTCATCTGGAAATCAAGGAAAGACGACGCGTCCTCTCAAAGCACTAAGAAATTAACGTGTACCAAGTCTAACTGAAATAGCGTAAATATTGTTTTTGTTTGTAAGTGTATCATAATTTTAGTTTGTCTAGAGGGGATTAAGATGAAAGTGCGTATGTGTGTGTGTGCGTTTAGCAGACAATTATTTTTTGGTGGGTTTTCGTATGTTGAATTCGAAACCTTTTTACGTAAGCATTGTTGAAAATAAACATACATTAAATTTTAAGACATTTTTATGTTTAACATTCTTTTTATACATACAAATATTTAAGTAAATGCTCTGTTTATAATAAACAGTATTAAACAACATTTACCGGCCTGAATGTCCGAGAAATTTTCACAGAAAATATTCGTC